CACATTCTGTTGGATCACCTTCCTTGGAAATGGGAATATAGACCTCTTCCCATCTGTTGGCCAGACAACTATCTGGCTGTCCTCCAAATATCCTGACATAGACTGATAAGTGTATCCAGGATTGCCTCTGTTAACTGAAACAAGTCAATTGGTATCCCATTGATACCTGGGCCTTATTTTTTTTTTGCCAATGTGTTCAGTACAGCTTCAAATTCCTCTTTCATTACTTACTTGCTGAAACAGAGACAGACCTGAAGTGCTTGCTTCAGAAGGTCAAGGACTGTCGTCTTCAATGCGGATTGAAGCTAAACATCAAGAAGACAAAGATTCTTACCACTGGGCCAATTGGCAGCACTATGATAGATGGAGAAGAGACTGAGGTTGTTAACAGTTACAGCCTGCTTGGTTCCACAATCAACTTTTGGCATCAGCAGTCAGGAAATCAAAAGATGAATTTGTTTGGGAAAATCTGTCAGGGACCTCTCCAGAGTACTGAGAAGCAATGATGTCAGTATAGAGACTAAGGTGTGCCTAATCCAGGCCATAGTCTTCACAATTACCTGCTATGCATAAGAAAGCTAGACAATGACAAAGGATGACAGAAGAATTGATACCTTTGAGTTGTGGTGCTGGAGAAGTCTTGAACATACCATGGACCACCAAGAAAACAAATAGGTCTTGGAAGGTGAAACCAAGTTTCTTCTTGGAGGCTAGGATTTTGAAGCTGTCTCACAAATTTTGGGAATGTGGCCAGGAAGGATGAATCTTTAGAGAAGGACATCATGCTTGGAAGGGTGGAGGAACAGTGCAGAAAAGAAAGACCTGGATGAGACGGACACAGTAACTAGGGCCATGGGGGTAGGCATGTTGGAGTCAGTGAGATTGGCTCGGGACAGGGCAGGCTTCAGAGATGTTGTACATAGGGGTGCTACGTAACAGGAACTTTTTAACACTGGCCTAAAGCCGTGAGGCTGATGGGCCTGTGAACACACTTTGGAAGCTGTCCTGGGAAAGTGCATCCTGCTGACAACTAAATGGTATCCTATTAACTTCCCTAATGAAACTATAATCATGATTATGGTTCTATGTGTTCTGTGAGCCACTGTCAACACATTTTGGACTCAACAGAGCAGTAAGTTTGGTGTCAGTAATAGCAGAAAGATTTGCAGGAGCATTACTGTGACATGACTGATCTCACGGGAGCTGGTTCAGTGCTGTGGCTGCTGCTGGCGGTAGTTCTCTGTTGTGGTGTTGGGAGAAATCATATATGGCTGTTCCCACAAAGCCCTTTGCTCTTTTTACACAGGCTTCAGTGAGAACATTAACTGTGATGGAGTCAAACACATCCATTCCATCTGGACACATTCGTTCACACTATTAGTGCAAACAAGTCTTTTCTGGAAAAACAAACTAGGATGGGGAAGGCTGGAGGCAAGGATGGTGACACTTCAACGCCTATTTTGGGCATGTTGTTAGGAGGATCCAGTCCTTGAAGGACATCAAGTTTGGAAAGGAAGAGTATCAGGGAAAGAGAGGAAGATTTGCAACAAGACTGATTGGCACAGTGACTGCGGCAATGGGCTCAGATCCGCTGATCATCTGTTTGCTATGAATTGTACTCAATGTGACACCTCCTAAAAACAGTATTAAAAAACCAAAAAGCTGGCCAAAAGGAAGGCCAATTAACCAAATCCATGTTATAAAAATGGGTAACAAGGCATGAAACTGAGCATCCATTCTGCCCCTTCAACAGGTCCCACACAGATGAGGGGAGGATTCGAAGCACTTGAGCACAGGTATATTCACCTAGAGCCCTACCCTTTTTGCTGGGCTGGAGCAGCTGATTCTGCTTGAGGTAGCTGCCTGCTTAAAGGGAGCCAACTGGGAATATTTACCCCATGGAATCAACAACGGCTCTGAATCATCAAATATGTTCAATGATCTGCCAACCCACTTACAGTGACTCTGTAGGGCAGAGTGTAACTAACCCATTTCCTAGGCTGACATTGTTACCAGAGCAGCTGGTGGATTCAAACCACCAAACTTCCAGTTAGCAGCCGAACTCCTGAATCACTGATCCAGGCCTGTAATTACATTCTCAGCAGCCCACCCTGGCCACTCTGGGTGATCAGGTTGTAAATGAGAGGCAGTTCTCTGTACAATGGAGAAAACCATCCAATGCTAGTGACAGATGATGAAAGAAAGACAGCATGACACCATGCTGAGACTCTAAAGAGTTAACAAAGGGAAATGGTGAGCTTCTATGCTTGCTCCCCTCACGAGATCACCTGCCCACAGACACACACACACTCTCTGTCACTCTCCTAGAGGCTTATCAATACAATGGAGCTACAACATGTCACTCACTCAAAACAAAGAGGACATGGCACGTGTCACATGACACAGAAGGGGAGTCTGCAGGTGACAACCAGCAAAATCCAGATGATGGAGATTTTCAGGACAGATTGTCCACCTTGTGATCAGTCCATCGCAGAGTGCAGGAGCTGAAAGGTAACCCAGAAGCTGCAAAGTGAGAACATGGATCTCAATTCCAAAAGAAAATTGAAAGAACAAAGTATTTATGGTTATGTGATGGTTATAGCTGAATACAGATGTGATAGTCAACACTATTAAAGAATTAAAAAAATATAAAACTTCAGTTGCTGAAATTGCACTGATTGTTCTTTTAAAGAGAAGTAGTGTTGAAAACCCATTATTCACCATAGCCTACAGGTGGTGCCAACCCAGAGGTCCATTAACAGGGCAAAGGTTAAACAAAAGGGGCTCCACGCCCACAGGACTGTCCCTTGGCACTGACAGCAGCGGTGTGCTGATGCACCCTACAACATGGACAAAAGCTCGCAACAAGCAACACGAGAGAAGCTGGTCCCAAAGGGCATGTGTCACATGGCCCTGTGGGTAGAAGGGCCCTGGAACACGAGGGGAGAGGTGACTGAGCGACACCAAGGTTCTGGGCATGATGCCCGGGATTAAAGCACGTGAACTACAACAGAAGTGGTTACGACATGGCCTATTTCATCAAAAAGAAAAAAGGTGAGCATGGATCCTGGAAGTCTAGATGGAGTGGTGATGTCTAGGATTTGCTTTAACTTGAAGGTGGCATGGGTACGAGGTCAAGCAGGGCTGGTCCAAGGCTGGACACTGTGGGGACCATTCCACATCCCATCTTCTCTGACTCTGGCAATCTTCCTGAACTCATGTTTTGAAACTCCTTATGCTTACTCACATCTAAGCTTGACTGCTGAACATTGTGTTTCCTGGGTTTGTTTCTGTGGGCTAACCGCCTTCTTGAAAAAAGTGTGTCCATGGCATCTAGTGTGTGTTATGGGAGTGTATGAAGTATGTGCATGTTGAGTGTATGGATGTAAATGTGTGTTAGAGGAGCATGTGTATGTGTGTGAACTTATTTTGTACAGGAGAAATGTTGAAAATGCATTCCTCAGCACAGTATCTGGGTGTGACAGTGCATGTGTGAACAGAGCGCTCTGTATGTGTATGTACTGTTATGGGAATGTGTGTGCATTTGTACATCCGTGCATTGCAGTATTGTTCCATGCTGTGAACTGACCCATCGCTGCCCTTCTAGCAGGTATTCAGAGTCTGTAAATCAGATGGGAGGACAATGGCCATCTTTCTCGGAGCAGTTGGTGGATTCAAACTGCTTGCTTTGGGGCTGGCAGTGCAACTCTTTACCACTAAGCCATCAGTGTTCCCTTTAAATATGTGATTGGGGGCATGAATGTGAATGGGAACATTAACTCTCTGCCACTTGTATCTTCCCATTTCTTAGCTTTAATGTCTGTGTGCCCAATAGCGTCAACACCCTCTGCATTCTTAATGTTCTGCTGCAGACATGGATGCACTGACTCGTGCCAATGGAGACCGAGAACGGCGTCAGAATGAACTACAGCCCCGACTGCTGTCTGAAGGAGTTTCTGTGAGGCCACCTCTCTCAGAGCAACCCAATGTGCAAGGGTCGACCTGCTCCGAGTGTGTTCCAGGCTGATGACCTTGGGGTGTAGTCCGCAAGACCTTAACCCAACGGTGCTCACCCAAAAGCTGCACCTCTCTACAGGTGCAAATTGACTAGCGGCTCCACAGAATAAAGATGGGCAGTGCCCCCTGTGAGATTTACAGCCTTGAAAACCTGCTGGAGGTTCTGCTTGGAATCTGCTCCAACTTGATGGCAACGAGGCAGAGTTCAAGGAATCTTTACAAATTTTTACAAGTCCAGTGGTTTTTCCAGCCTGGGTGAGTTTGCTCACTGACCTTTCTGTGAACAGCTAAGCATTAACCTAATGCACCACCAGGGCCTGTTGTTTCAAGGTCTAAGTGCCCGGCCTTCAGGGCATCTCTACACTGCAGGATCTGCTCAAATGCTTGGTGGGAGGACAAGGACTGTGCAGGCAGCAGCAACGACCAGGGGAGAGCTACAAAAAAGGCTTTTATTAACAGGAAAGCAAGGTCAGTTGGATGGATAAGATAGGAAACAGATAAACCAACAGTAAAAGCACCTCAGCTCTCCCAGGCTGCCACCTCCGGAAGACCACCTGCAGCCAGGGGGCGCAGAGCGGTCCCCAGGCCTGTGGGCTTGGTGTGGCCTGAACACAGGAGGCCAGTGCTTGTGACTATTTAAAAGCCTCTACCACCTTAGTTAGCACCTTCAGTCATGTGTATGTTATGTGTCTGACCCCCACACGCCTGACCCTAAATATCATGTGGTATGTGAAGGATTTCCAGATCACCTCACTGGCCGTCAGGTCACAGCCCAGCCCCCAAGGGGCTTGGCATTGACACCATCTTTGGCATCAAGCACACCAACTACCTTGTAACACTACCATCATGTAAAAAAGTATACTCTTGTAGTAAAACATCTTAGAAACAGCTATTTTTGTAAAAGAAAGTTTTGTACGAATATACATGTCTTTCTGGAGAACAGAGGCCCACGCTAAGATGGGCTGGGATGCAGAATGGATTAATCACATGAAGTCACCCAGCTCAGCCTCCAGGGCTGCGGCCATCTCATCGGCCTCAGAGCTGCTGCCTTCTTCGTCCTCTTGGCTGGAGTCACTGGCCGCGTCCTCCTCATTCAGTTTTCTCTTATGGCCCCTGTGAAAGAAGCAGATCTGAGCGTTCGTTGTGATAGCCTGGGAGTCACAGCTCACACAGCTGTCATGGCCTCCACAGTGCCCAGACACAGCATCATGGCTTTCCCAGCACATGATGCCCTGAGACACAGGGCCTGGCCCGCTGAGGCAGGAGCCCCCACCCCTGCAGGAGAGCCCAGGGCATCGAGGGGCAGCACCCCAGACCTGGAGCTGCAGACAGCCCCAGCCTGGGTGTCCGATGCTCTGCAGGGGAGGGCAGGAATGGCTTGACCTGCAACCAGGTGACCTGTTCTCCAGATAGGGTTTGCGTGTGTGTTGAACGCCTTCGAGTTGAGCATGACTCATAAAGACTCTATGAACAAAAGGCCTGAAGCTCCTCTTAAACTATCGACATTTATCAAAGTTCACAGAGTTTCCAAAGGCATGCTGTCTAGGAAGTGCACAACAACACAGGACTGAAAGCCAGTAGTTGAAAATTACCTCAGTCTTGGGACACAAACAGTACAAGTCACACTGTCCCTGGTCTAAGCTCGTTTCCTCCTAGCATGAAGGCTGGTATTTACCTTCGGTTGTTATGCTGACTGTATGGCCCAGTGAGGAGTCCAGAGTCCACCTGCAAAGATGTGGTGACTGGGAGACCACCTGTCAGTGTGGCAAGTGGTGTGAGGGCATAGCACCACCGTCTCTGTGATGCCAGCTCTTGGGGCACAAAGGGCCACAGTCACCATTTGCCACATGCTCCCATAGGGCCACTGGTCCCACAGAGGCACAGCCACCACACACCACTGTCCCATACGCCACTGTCCCACAAGGCCATTATAGGGCCATCACACAGCACTGTCTCACAGGGCCATCACAAGACCACCACATATGCCATTCTTACACATGACCACCACACACATCATATGCACACATGCCACTGTCCCACATGCCATGCATATACAGAACCACATGGAACTTAGAGATGACCACTGCACACACAGGCACAGTCATACATAATTATTACCACACATGTCCCTCTCACACAGGACCACCACAAACATACTATATGCACAGAGGACCACCACATGGCAGAAGAGCACATGTCAGTATGACCATCAGGAGGAGCATGCAGTCTCCAGTGCTCATCCGTTTGTTTAATGAGGTTAGTTTCAGCTGAGGGGAAGGCTGTGTGAATGCTTTCAGGTGGGGGATTCCCCACATGGGGCATGTTGGGGACAAGTGTGTTTGCTGCACTGGGGGAGGGAGCTGGCCCTGGCACCATGTGCTGAAAAGACTGAGGGGAAGGAGTCTGCCCCAAGTATACCAAGCCCACTTTCAATCACATCTGCATGCCCCACTCCACTAGAATCTGTTGGAAGTGCAGGGCCCACTCCGCTGTAGCTTGCAGTAGCAGGAGCACTACAAAAGGAGAGTGAGCCTGTACACATCATAGTTAATTGAGTTAAACAAGAAATGCTTTTAGAGAAGCAGATAGTATACACAGCTTGATGGACTGTGGCTATGGAACACGTGTCTGAATATGGACTTCTCCAGGACAGGGTCTGAACCTGGAATCACCCCCTAGGCTGCATGCTTCTCTTTAAACAATCCCCACCTTTTAAATTCTATTGTCAGTAGAGCTAAGGTTTGTTAATTTTGTCCATTTTCACTAAGAATAGACTTTTGGTTTCAATGATGGCTCTGTTCCATCAACTTCAGTTCTAGTCTTTTATTCTTCCTGAACTTGGAAGGGTTTCTGCAACTGCTAGGTATCAAGTCAGCTATCACTCACAGTGACCCTGTGAACAATGAATCTGTACGGTGTCCTATTCTGCGCCAACTTCATCGTCTCAGGTATGTCCAAGCCCATTTTAACAGTCACTTTGTCAATCCACTTCGTTGAACCCATTTTCTTACTGACCCTCTACTTTTCCCAGCATGACAAAATACACAAAGCTGGTGAGACGAAGTTCCACCATCCTTGCCTCCAAGGAGCACCCTGGCTACACTTTCTCCAGGACAGACCTGTTTGTTCTTTGGGCAGTTCATGGGATACTCAGTACTCTTCCCCAACACCACAACTCAAAGGCATCAATTCCTCTTCTATCACCCTTATTCACTGTCCAACTTAATCTGCTCTTCCCCTCCACAATCTTTCGGTAAAATGTTAGGTTAATGAATCTTTTGTACTTTATAATATAGGCATTTCTGGCCATCAACAGCCACCTAACAACAGCTGCCCCTACGAGATTTTCTGCATTGTGTCTTCATTCTCGGTTATATAAAAGTATTTTCTAATTACTCCCTCATCCACTGGTTATTCTAGGGTGCTTAATTTTTTAGTGTTCCTAATTTGTTACCAATTTCTAATTTAATTGTGATGGGAATGAAGGATCTCTTTTACTTCACTACTTTTAAAGTTATTTAATGACCAAGCATATTGTCTGTCCAAGTATGTAGACAAGTGTCCATTAAAGAGCACGCTATCTCCTTGTAGGTTATAATGGATCTCTCAAAACAGCACCACAATGTACACAGGATGCAGCCTTGGTGGTAACAGAGGAACTTAAACCCTAGTTTAGTTCCAAACACTCTGCAGTTCCTGTGTGTTCCTCACTCCAGTGTAACAGAAAAAGCTTCCAGAAGCAGCTAATGCCAAAGCTCACCAAAGAAACGTGATTACAAAGATTCTCTTCATTTTCAGAAATGACCAATCTCTAAAACATATTTAAAGGAACTCTTGCCTAGGTCAACTATTCAATATTGAAAATAGTTTTCAATTGTTTCTTTAGTGACATCTGTCCATACATAGTGGGGCTGTTGACAGGACAGTGGTTCAAATTCATCAGCCACTCTGCAGGAAAAAGATGACGCAGTCTGCTTCTGCCCAAATCTGTCAAGCCTGACGGAGGGTTCCCTTAAGTCCTGACGACAGCAGATCTGTGGGCTCTCGGGAGGGGTTATTCTCAAAGTAAAGGAGGCTTTGCCGTGCAGTGGTTAAGGGGTTGGCTCTAAACAAAATGTTAGCAGTCTGAATTCAGCACCAACGCAGGAGAAAAATGTGACGGGCTGCTTCTGTAAAGACTGAAGTCAGGCTCTGCCGAGGTGGAGCCAACTCACGTGACTCAATGGACAACAGAACATTGCCGGGTCTGTGCCATCCTCCCAAAGGGTGTTCTGTCTGGAGCTCTGGTGACCTAGTGGAGAAAGAACTGCCAACAAAAAGCAGAAAATTCGAATCCACCAGCTGTTCTGTGGGAGAAGGATGGGCAATTGTTTCCTACGCGATTTACAGCTGTTTGGAAGCAGGAATGGCATCCACTTCCTAAACAACATGCCTCCAGAAACTCGATGAACTTCGATGAATGTCGATACTTATAGAAAGGCTTCAGGCCTTTTGTTATGAGGGTCGTTATGAGTTGTGCTCAACTCCAAGGCAATCAACAACAAAAACAAAACTTGCTGGAGGGTTAGTTATGAGTGGGTTCCAATTCGACGGCTCATGAACAACAACGTCAATCTGTCGTGTTTTGAGAGTTTCTCTTTTCTGCTGACCCTTTACCAAGCATGATGTCTTTCTCTCAAGACTGATCCTTCAGGATAAACAATTTCAAAGCAGGAGAGACAAAGTCTTGTTATCCTCACTTCTGAAGAGCATACTGGCTACACTTCTTCCAAGGCAGATTTGAAATTTCCTGGTAGGAGTCAATATTCTCCAACACCATAATCCAAAGGTATCAATGAGTCCTTGTCCAGATTTCACATGTATATGAGGTGATTTGAGTCAGATACTCTTTAAGGTTTTTTTTATAATTTTAGCTTTTACTCCTAGAACTTTGGTTCATCCACTGTTATTGTTGTTACGTGCTGCCGAGTTGCTAGTGACCAATAGTAACCCTATGTACAAGAGCCCTAAACCCTGCTCTATCCTGTGCCAAACTTATTGCCTCTGACACACCTACCCTCATCAACCCAATCACTGAATTGATCCATCTCTCACTGAGGGTCTTCCTTTCTTGCACAGTCTCTCCACCCTCCTAAGCATAATGTCTCTCTCCAAGTACCAGTCCCTTCTTGTAACACATCCAAAGTATGTCAGATGAAGCTTCATAATCCTTGCCTCCAAGGATCAACCCAGTTTCACTCTCTCCAGGATGAACTTGTCTGTTATCCTAGCAGTCCATGGTATATTCAATACTCTTCTCCAACACCATAGCTAAAAGGCATCAATTCTCTTTCAGTCATCCCTAGTCACTGTCCAGCTCTCTGACAAATGCGTGCGGATAGCATGCACTATGGCCTGGATCAGACGCACCTTAGTTTTCAGCCTGACATCGTTGGTCTTCAGTACTCTGGAGAGATCACTGACAGTCGACTTTCCCAAATCAATGCATCTCTTGATCTGCAGATTTACCAGGAGGCTGCTGGTACCAAGACTGTTGACTGTGGAGCCAAGTAAACTAAAACTGTTAACAGTCTCAATCCCTTCACCATCCATTTTGGTCCATCTAGAGTTCGTTTTTGCATATGGTATAAGGTACAAATCTTATTTTCATCTTCTGCAAACATAAGATAGCCAGTTTGGCCAGTACCATTTGTTAAAGAGACTGTCTTTTCCTCTTTTAATGAATTTCATCTCTGTCAAAGATCAACTGACTGCTGTTGTCAGGTGCCATCAAGCTGAGTATGACTCACAGTGACCCTGTGAACAACAGACCTGAACCCTGACTATCTTGTGCCATCAGCAACCTCTCTAACACAATGGGGCACTGCAGTAGTTCCTGTGTCAAGCCATGTGGTGAGGGTCTTCCTTCCATCCATTCTCCACCTTTCCAACAGGATGTGTCTCTCAAACAAGTTTCTCTTAGCAACATGTCCAAACTATGTGTGATGAAACTTGGCTATTTTTGCCTCCAAGGGGCATTCTGTATGCACTCTCTTCAGCTGACTGTGGGTGGAACAGTATTTACTTCTCAGTTCTCAATTCTATTCTGCTTGTCTATGTGCCCGGTGCTGAGCCAATAGTTGTTTCTGATTACTGCAGTTGTATAATAGGTTTGGGAGGAAGGAAGTGTAAGGTCTCCTACTTTTGTTTTCCTTCTGCAGTAGTGCCTTGTTTATTGGGGGCATCATTCCTAAAAAGCTGATGATTACTACTTCCATCTCTTTGAAGAATGATGATGAAATCTGAATTGGGATGGCATTATACCTGTTGATTGCTTTTGGTATTAACTGTAATTTTCACAATGTTAAGTATTCCTGTCCATGTTACTATCATGTGCCATTGAATCAACTGTGACTCACAGCGACCTGAAGAACAGCAGATCTGTACCTGCCTTATCCTGCGCCATCCTCACCATCTCTGATTACTTGAGTTCATTGCTACAATCATCATCAATCCATATTTGTGGGTCTTTCTGTCCTAGTCTGACCCTACATCTTTCCAAGAATGATGTCCTTCTACCAACAGGTCCAAAGAACACAAGATGAGGCTTTACCAACCTCATTTCCGTGAAGCACTTAGGTCACACATTCTTCCAGACAAACTTGTTTGTTCTTTTGGCAGTTCATGGGACAGTCAGTACTGTTCTACAACATAACTCAAAGGCATCAATTCTTTGTCTATCATCTTTATTTACTGTCCAACTTTCAAATACGTAACAAGAAATCAAAAAGACTATGGCGTGGATTTAGCTCACCTTAGCCTTTAAATGACTATCCTTGCTCTTAATACTTTGGAAAAAATCTCTCATAGCAGATTTTCTCAATGTGTTATGTTTTTATTTCTTCCTTGCTGGTACTAAGGGTGTTTGCTGATTGTGGTTCCAAGATGAAATCAATGACAATTTTAATCTTTGCTCCGGCTTTTGTAATGGTGCCTACTGGCCCAGTGATGAGGATTTTAGTTTTCTTGATGTTGAGATGTAATCCACATCGAAAAGTATAGTCTTTGATCTTCTGCAGCAAGAGCTTCACGGCCTCCTCACTTTCAGCAATCAAGATTGTGTCATCTGCATAATTTAGGTTGTTTGATAAGTCCATCTCCACTCCTGATGCCATTTGTAAAGTCCAGCTTCTCCAATTATTTGCTTGATATAGTATAGCCCAAAGTCTTCCTCCTTGATAGTGCCAGGTTACGTGTGGGAGGAGGGCAAGGAAGATGAAGATCTTTGACTTCGGTTTTTTTAAACCCTGAGTTGAAAGCACTTCTATCTTGGGGATTTATCTATCTTATTCTATCTTTCGGTGGGATATGAGGCATTTGGAAGAGGAGTAAGAAGCAGTCTCAGTGCTTTTTGGCTGAGGAGTCAGATAGATATAAAGGATGTCTGCAATCCGAAAGGCATCAGAACCATTTTGGTGGTTTAGGGGCTTTCCCTCCTTGACTGAAACCTTGTTGGGGACTGCGGGGCCCTAGCTTTGCTCCCCTCCTTTTCCTGAGGAAAAAAAAAGGATGGAAAATCTGAAGAAATAGGAATAAAATAAGTAAATAATAATAACCCACATGGCCCTGATACACACCTTTCTTGATTTTAAACCATGTACTCTTGTTCTGTTCAGACAACCACCTCCTGGTTTAGCTGTAGGTTTTGCATAAGCACAGTTAATTGTCCTAGGATTCCCATTCTTCTCAACGTTAGCCATAATTTGTTATACTCCACACAGTCAAATACCTTTGCATAGTGAATAAAACATAGACATTCTTCTGGTATTCTCTGCTTTCTGCCAAGGTCCATCTGACATGAGCAATGATATCCCTGGTGCCATGTTCTCTTGTGAATCCAGCTTGAATTTCTGTCAGTCCTTTGCTGATGTGCTTCTCTAGCAGTTTTTGAATAATCACCTTGCATGCAATATTAATGGTACTGTTTCATAGTTTCCACATTCTGTTGGATCACCTTTTTTGGGAATGGGAACAAATGTGGATCTCTTTCAGCAAGTTGGTTAGGAAACTGTCTTCCATATTTCCTGGTACAACCTGGTGAGCACATCCAAGGCTGTATCTGCTGGAAGATGGCAAATAGTATTCCATTATTTCTTGGGCCTTTTTTTTTTTTTTTTGCCAATGCCTTCAATGCAGTTTGACCTTCTTCCTTCATTACTATTAGTTCTTGGTCATATGTTACTTCATTAAATGATTCTGTACCAGCCAATTCTTTTTTATACAATGTATCCCTTCCACCTTCTTTTGATCCTTCAGGGACCAGTCAAGATTCTGCCCACAGCATCCTTCAGAACTGCAACTTGAGACCTGAATTTGTTTCTTCAGTTCTTTCAGATAAGAAATGTTGACTCAGTTCTTCCCTTTTTATTTTCTGACTCCAGTTCTTTGCTATGACATTTCATCGTAGTACTTTCCTTTGTCTTCCTCAGTTGCCATGTGAAATCTACCTGCTATTCAACTCTTTTCGTTTTACTTCTTTCCTTTTTTTTTTGCTTCTCATTATTCTAATGCAATTTTCAGTCTCTTTTTGACATGCATTTTGGTCTTTTCTTTATCCTTTGGTAATGACTTTTTGCTTTCTTCATGGATGGTATCCTTGGTTTCATCCTACAACTTACCTGGTCTTTGATCATTAGAGTTCAATGCTTCAAACCTATTATTATTTTTTGTTGTTGTTGTTGTTAGGGAATACTTTAATAATAAAATATTTTTTCAATTACATTTTTTGTTTTGCTTTTTAAGAACAAACCCATTATTAAGATGGCTTTAAAACTCAGGTGGAGGCAGACTCAAAGATGTTTTTCTTGTTCTAATGGCTTTATTCTGGTTTTTTTTCAGTTTCACTTTGAACCTGAACATGAACTGATGGTCTGTTTCAGTCACCACCTGGCTTGGTTTTGACTGCTGATATTGAGCTTTTTCTATCCATGAGCATGTCATATACTCCCATTTATGTAGGCTTCTTATTGTTTGTGGACAACAAGAGAACTCTTTTGGTTTCTCATCATTTTCCTTATGCAGATTTTTTGTCTCTGGTTAGACTTACTCTCTAACATTTCATCTTTTGGATGGCTATTTTAAATCAAAGATTCTCACCATTGGGACAATTGGCAGCACCATGATAGATGGAGAAGAGTTTGAGGCTGTTAACAATTTCAACCAACATTTTTGGCATCAAAGGCCAAGAAATTAAAAAAAAAAAAGATTTGTTCTGGGAAAGACTGCTGTCAGGGACTTCTCAAAAAGTGCTCAAGAAGAACAATGTCAGTCTGGGGACAAAGATAACACCTGATCAAGGGCATGGTCTCTGCAATTACTTGTTATGCATCAGAGAGCTAGACAATGAACAAAGATGACAGAAGAAGAATTGATGCCTTTGAGTTGTGGTGCTACAGAAGAGTACTGAACACAGCACAGGCTGCCAGGAGAACAGGTTTATTCTGGAGAGGGTGAAACCAGGCTGCTCCTTGGAGGCAAGGATTTTGAAGCTCAGTCTCATATACTTTGGGTATGTGGCCAGGAGGGAGCAGTCCTTGGAGAAGGCCATCATGCTTGGAAGGGTGTAGGGACAGTGCAGGAGAGGAAGACCCCAGATGAGGTGGATTGATACAGTAACTGGGGCAACAGGGTTAGGTGTGTCAGAGACAGTGAGACCGGATCAGTATAGAGCAGAATTCACAAATGGTATTGTTCTCATATTTTCTTTTCAGTGTTTGGTGAGTTGGTCAGAGTCATTCATGTTTTTATTTTTTCTTATTTTGAGATTTTCTATGTATGGAATCACTGTTACTGCTCTCAGGAGCTGTCAAGTTGCATGGTTCCCAGCGACCCTATGAACGATGTACGTGAACGCTGTCCTGCACCATCTTTATCATCACCCTTATCATCTCCAACACTGAGGGCTGATCCAAGTGAAACCAAATCCTCAACAACTTCAATCATTTCTATTTATCACGTTGCCTGCGAGGCCAGCTGTGAAGATGTCTGTTTCATGTTGAAGCATAATTCACATCCAGTCTTTGATCTTCCTCAAGCAGGGCTACATGTCTTGTTTCAGCCAAGCTGTGTCATCTGCACACTGCTGGTTATTTAGGAGGTTTCCTCCAATCTGGATGCCAAGGTTTTCTTCCTATAGTCCAACTTATCAAATAATTTGTCCAGGACATAGATTTTTAGAACTATGGTAAAACAAGCTGATGCACAGCTTTCCCAATTTTAAACCATGCTGTATTCTTTTATTATGTTTGAACAACTGCTTCTTGGCCTGTGTACAAATTCTACATAAGCACAATTAAGTGTTTTGGAATTCACATACTTTTCAGTGTTATCCATAATTTATGACCCACAAAGTCAAATGCTTTTGCACAGTCTCCATAAAATACTGGTAAATATCTTCCTGGTATTCCCTGCTCTCAGCCAAGATTTGACATTAGCCGTGACATCACTTGGCCTCTTCTGATTTCAGGGAGTTCCTGTATATGTACTGCTACAACTATTAACTGTTCAGTAATTTCGGTATTCTGTTGGACCACCTATTTTTAAAAAATTTTATTTTATTAACTTTAACGAACATTTACAGAGATTTTGGATTTCCATTCATTCATTGTGGCACTTTTTTCTCTTACCCCTCACCCCCAGTTCGCTCCTCTCTTCGAAAAGCAAAAGATAAACTCTTTCATTGGTGGACAACCCCCTCCCCACCCCCCGCCCTGAATGCACTCCACTATGCAAACTTAATTCTGGATTCCAGTGCTATATGTCCCCTGATTTCAGGAAGTGTTGTACTAAGGATGTTGACTGTAGACCCAAAAAAGATGAACTAGTTGACAATTTCAATCTTTTCTCCATCTATGTTGCCTACTGACCCTGTGGTAGATTTGTTTTCTTGTTGTTTAGATGTAATCTATATTGAAGGCTGTAGTCTTTGATCTTCTGCAGCAAGCACTTCAAGTCCTCCCTTTCAGCAGGTAAGGTTGTGTCATCTGTACAATACAGGTTGTTGCTGAGTATTCTTTGGATCCTAATGTCATTCTTTGACATGGTCTCTAGCTTCTCGAATGATTTGCTCAGCATAAAGACTGAATAGGCATGGAGAAAGGCTCTAACACTGATACACACCTTTCCTGATTTTAAACCATGCAGTTCCCTTGCTGTTTGGACCACAGCTTCTTGGTCAAGCCACAAGTTTCACTTGAGCACTAGGAAGTGCTCTGAAATTTCCATTCTCAGTGTCAGCCATAACTTAAGATCCACACAATCAAAAAAATGACACACATTTTTCGGATATTCTCTGCTTTCAGCCAAGACACATGTGATATCAGCAAAGATTTCCCTGGTGCCATGGTGTCTTTTGAACCCAGCTTGAACTTCTGGCAATTCTTACTGTGCTGTTTAATGTACTCTTCTTGCTGTTCTTGGATAATCTTTAGCAATATTTTGCTTGCATGTAACATTAACGACATTGTTCAATTAATTTCCACATTCTGTTGGATCACTTTTCTTGCAAATGGTAACAAATATGGATCTCAGTCAGTTGGCCAGGTTGCTGCCTTCCAAATTTCCTGGCACAGCCTGCTAAGCACGTCAGAGTTGCTTCAACTAGTATCCCACTGATTCCTGGGGCCCTGGAGGGCAGTTCTACTCTATCCTGTGGGTTTCCTAATGATTAGAATGGACTTGGTGACAAGGTGAGTGATAGTAGATGAATTCCACCTGAAATGAGAGAGGGCACCCTTGGTCTCTACGGCTAAGTCAGCATTTAGAGCATTAGGCTATGTGTCTTATGCCTTTTATGGGATTTGAGAAGGTCTTTAGAAATAGTGCTTTTCTCTTTACTCGTTCACACTGTGCCAGAAGGGATGGGAAACACTTGCGTCAAGACTGAAATAGTCCAGTTCTTTGAGATCAGATCTCTGGAGAAGACCAAGATGCTGTGATCACTGTCAGTGGGAAATCGGCCACTTTGAAACTTTTCTCATTTTCTTTAACTGTTACCAGTGACACTCACTGTATTTTTTGCTAATTAAATATTGTCATTTTCTACTTTCTTCCCAAACCAGAAATAATGTGCAGGAAGAAATCTGATCTGTTGTTTTTCTGAAATCTTGGCCATCAGCCCCAAGCCCTCCCATTATCCAAAGCACAAACAGGCCTCCCTGGAAAAGGAAGAGGAGAGCTTAGACTCTGCCAAGGTGGATGCTTGCCAGTATTGCACATGCTCGTGATGATGGTGCATTTGTATTGTTTGCTGAAATGTTCTGATGCTACCTTGTTCGCGCAAATGTTTTTCCAAACATCCTTGAATTTTCAGCTTCATGATTTACCACAAGGAATACAAGTGCACTGTATATAACACATTTCATGTGTACTACTTTAGAAAAGGAATGAATTAACTTCTGGTTGGTAGTCAAGTTAAAAAAATACTATCATCCTTTTCAACTAAAAGCTATTTTGAAGCTCAAGTGACACTATGACTGGAAAACAGCTTGTCCCTATGAAACAAGCAAGATGTGCTGCCAAAGAACATGTGCGTTTGTGTGTGGAACCTGCCTCTGCACAGGGGAAAGGACCGCACTGACACACTACAGACAAAGTCCCCTCCTGTGCACCTCCACAACTCACTGATGTTAGAACTGATCCACAGCTGAGCCCTCACTGCATTTCTGAGGTCATAAATTGTCCACCTTTCTCCTACAGAGCAGCTGGTGTACTTGACCTGATAGAGGGGAGAGGACTTTTAGGTTAGTGATTCAACTTCCCATGAACTATGCTACTCTGTGTGTGTGTGTGTGTGTGTGTGTGTGTGTGTGTGTGTGCGCGCGCGCGCGCGCGCGCGCTAATATAGTTGTTATGTTGGAACCAACTCATAGCTGACCTGCCAGTGGATTTGCAGAAGCTGTAAATCACAACAGAGAAGACTGCCCATCTTTCTCGCATGCAGCAGCTGGCAGATTAAAAATGGATGTCTTTGGGTTGGGAGTGAGCTCCTTACCACTAGGCCACCAGAGTGCTCACATGTATGTTATGTCATCACATCCTGTCAAGTTGGAACTGACTTATGAATGACCCTCCAGTAGGTTTTCAGAGGCTGTAAGTCACAGGGAAGGAGAGTTCACATCTTTCTCTGGTGGAGCAGCTGGCAGCTTTAAACCATATGTCTTTGCTGGCAGCAAAACTCCTGAGCACTGCATCACCAGAGCTCCCTACAAGTATTCTTTTATCTCTCTCTCTCACACATACACACATGCGCGAGCGCACGTGCTGTAAGGTGCCACTGAGTTGAGTAGAACACATAGTGGCCCTACACACTGATCTGGATGCAGTCCTGTGTCATCCTCATGACTGCTGGTATACTGGAGGTTCCCTGCTTCACTCCCTGTGCCAACCCACCCCAGCGCAGGTCTTCCTCTCCTTTGCCAGCCTTTGCATGTATTTTTCCTCATTCTGAGTGACTTCCAAGCTGGGCTCTATCTCAAATACTCTAACTATGCATGTTTCTGTATTTCTAGGGTTTTCAGAAGCCTCTTATTTCTGAAGTGGATTTCCAATCCTGCTTCCTATATAACATGTATACTAATAAAAAATTTCTTCAATCTCACTGACATAATGTTGGAACCAACTCTATATATAACGTACATATTCATATAAGTAGAGATTGTGTATTTATAAAACATGCATACACAAAAAACCCCTTCAATCTTACTGATATTGAGCTGGAATCAATTCTGTATAACATATGTACCCATACGTGTAAGTACGTTAGAAAGTAGTTGTTTCTAAGCACCGCTGAGTTGGAACTGACACACCGCTGACCCTCCAGTAGGTTTCTCCCAGTGAAGGAACTGGTGGATTCCAACAGCCTGGCTTTGGGTTAGCAACGCAGCTCCTTACCACTAAGCCACCAGTGCTCCCATTATATATCTCTATATGCCTGCCTGCCTGCCCACCTACCTACCTACCTACCAACCTACCTATAGATATCTAACTATCTCTGGTAGATCACTTGGTGATAAGGAGTGGCACTACCAAGGCAAAGGCACAGGCACATGGGTCAAATCTACCACCTGCTCCATAAAGAAAGACGGGCAATTTCCTACCACGTGCCCTACTTACTGTCTCTGAAAATCTGCCGAGGGACAGCTACGAGTACAGTGCCCGTGAGGACTTTCTTGGACATGGGAAGGGCGGGAGCAGACTCTGCAGTGATCAGCACACCCCAAAACAACTGTATGCTCACACCTGAGTAGACACTGCAGGGACCAGCATGCCTAGGGACCCTCCATGTTTACACCTGCTCACAAAAGAAGACATGCTGCAGTGACCAGAATGTCCCGTGGACCCTGTGCACGTGGAAGGAGTTGCTGCAGTATGCTTCCTGCACAGAGTGCCGGGGGCAGCGAAGTAGGAAACGTGCGCCTGCTCCCCCTCCCTCCTCTCCGCCCCCGAAGCCTTCTCCAGGTCCCACGACCAGCTGAGGTGGGGCAGGGACATCTGTCCTAATACATACAGCCTCACGCCCACAATACTCTCTGAGGGGAGGGTCAGGCATCATGGAGACCACAGCCCTGCATGGTTGCTTGAACATGTTCCTGCATGAGCACATGTCTCTTGGTATACACCCCGTCACTTCCTGATGGGGAGACAGTGTGACTAGTGACCGAAACCAGAGCAGCAACAGAAACACCTGTTCCCAGACACACTGCTCGGGTGTCAACGTGGAAGCTGTTTGTTTTACCTTCTGACACAGGACAAGGCAGCAGCGCCCTGCCTCGGGCCCCAAACCCAGGGTGCCTGGTGTGGGTTTTCTACTTTCCTGCCTGCTTCCTGCAGCGTACATGTGGCCATGTGTGAATTTCACAGCCTGTGCCAGCAGGTGAGACACACGCATAGTGCTAACCCATCAGTGAGTACAGTAGCTGCTGACACCCTGCTCAAGCTCAGTGTCTCCTGACTTGATGGGCCCTGTGCTCTGTCCCTGCAGTTGTTGACCTGGGCATCCTGCTCTGTCCATGCAGGTGCTGTCCTGGGCACCCTGCTCTGTACCTGTAAGTGTTCATGTGGACACTCGCTCTGTATCTGCAGGTACTCACCTGGGCACCTTGCTCTGTGCCTGTAGGCATCTACTGGGCACCTTGCTCTGTGTTTACCTGGGCACGAGGCTCTGTATCTGCATATGCTCACCTAGGCACCTGCTCTATACCTGTAGGTGCTCATCTAGGTACCTGCTCTACACCTACACATGCTCACCTGGACACCTTGCTCTGTACTTGCAGGTGTTTCCCTGAGCACTCGGTCCTATACCTCCAGGTGCTCACCTGAGCACCCTGCTCTGTACTGACAGGTGCTTACCTGGACACCCCACAGCCAGCCAGGTTCTTCTTACTGGACCAGGAAGGTATGGGCTGTGGTTCTGTGCTGGCTCCTGGGGTCTTGGCTGCCCTGCTCACTTGCTTTCCCTCCTCCTCTTCCTCCTCTGGCTTCTTCTTTTCACTGTCACTGTCATCACTGCCTTCTCCTAGGATGTCATCCACCTGGCAAGAGGCCAAGAGTCAGGACAAGGATTAGTTTTCTATAGAATCCATGTAGTTTGCCCTTCATCTGAGAGACGAACACTGTAGCAGAGGGTTAGTTCTTGGACTTGACTGCATCATCAGCCACAGCTCTGGTGATGGACCAGACAGCAATTCTAGAGAACATGTAAATACGGGGAATTGGTTTTTCCCAGGAAGTCAAGTGCACAGAGGGAGGCTCTGGTAGCAACATGTTATTTTTCTTCATGGCCCACAGGTGTGGCTGCATCACCATGTGATGTGACCAGACTGTGACCACATTCGGAATCTGGCTGGCCAACTGACCACGTCTTCACAAACTTAGCTCTATGTTGGACTTGCTACAATCCAACACATACTGAGGTGGTTCTGTATTACAGTAAAGGACGAGAAGGCAATGGATTCTTCCATCTGTCATTTGAGAACTGTTAGCAGGACCACATGGCTCTGTGGTTTTTTGTCTTCTACGAAGAACCGTGTGGCTCTGCGATGTGAATTATGGGAGGGCCATATGGTTCTGTGGTATGACTTGTGGGAGGATCATGCAGTTCTGTGGTGCAAACCCTAGAAATATCACATGGTTTTGTGGTGTGAACTTTGGGATGACTATGTGGTTCTATGGTATGATCTGTCAACAGGCTACCTGGTTTTGTGGTGTAAACTGTGGGAGGACCATGTAAGCTCTGTGGCATGAATTGTGAGAGAGCCACTGGTACTCTGTGATGAGAGCTGTCTGATAGAAGATGGTATTCTTCTGTGGTGGGAAAATCACATGGTGAGAGCTGTGGTAGATTCCATTCTCCTACCACAGAACTCACTTCTGCCCCAACACATGGCTCTCCAGGGAGGACTGCATCCTGAAGGGCACACTGAGCCCTGTGAAACCCTGAGCAAGGCCCTACCCACAAAACACCTGGGCTTCTGGCCCACAGAAACCACGAGGCAATACATGAGCCCTGTCATAAGCCGGTACACTCATGGTCATCAGCTGCACAGGAAAGAAAACACACCAGTTATCATTGCTCTTGTTGTTGTTATATGCCGTTGAGTCGTTTGCGACTCATAACGACCCTATGTATGACAGCCCTGAACCCTGCTCTATCCTGTGCCAATCGCACTGCCTCTGACACACCCATCCCGATTACCCCAGTCACTGAATCAATCCACCTCATAGAGGGTCTTTCCCTCTTGCACTGTCCCTCCACCCTCCCAAGCATGATGTCCCTTTCCAAGGACCTGTCCCTACTTGCAACATGCCCAAAGTATGTCAGGCAAAGCCTCAGAATCCTTGCATTCGAGGAGTTGCTTGGTTTAATCCTCTCCAGGATGAATCTGTTTGTTTTCTTGGCAGTCCATGGTACATTCAAT